AAACTTGTAAACGAGCTAGACGATTCAGATTCATTAGTTATCCCTATAAGCATGCTTTCTAAGCGTAATTGACTTAGGACATTTGTAAGAGTGCAGGAATCCTATAGGCATGGTCTCTGGAGTACATTTGTTATTTTAACCTATGGATTGTTTGCCTAAGGGGAGTATGCAAAAGTGCAGAAACTTATAGGCATGATTTCCAATGCAAGTAAATAGCTTATAGGCAGGATTTCTATATGCAGTAATGAATAACTTATAGGCAGGATTTCTATATGCAGTAATGAATAACTTATAGGCAGGATTTCTATATGTAGTGATGAATGGCTTATGAACAAGATGCAATAATGAATAACTTATAGGCCGGATTTCTATATGCAGTAATGAATGACTTATAATTGCAGAAGTAAACCTAAAGCATGATATCTACCCCATATGCATAACATGAAAGTCCTTCCCCCCATTTTACTATACACCCCATAAGTCATTACAAGGTTATTACAACTTGAATGAATCCAGAAAAGTGAATAAATAAAATACATCAGAAATTAAAATTCCAACCAAGGAGAGCCTAATTCAGACTCCTAGTCTGACGTATGGAATAAACCAACTTCCAAGGACCAGATTCTCCAAAGACTTTCTCTCTTTTGGGATGTGTCAAAGTTCCAAGGAGTTTCCTGAACTCCAGGAAATGCTTACACCCCAAATATCATTGTAGAAATATAGTGCAGTGTGGAAAGGCCAGCCCTCAAATGGCCAAGTTCAGAGGGAACTCAAGGTTCCCAAGGCAAGGCTCATAGGAGGGGGCAGAACATAGAGTGTAAGAGTAAGTGTAAGTGCAACAGAGGAGGAATTAGGGAAGGCCATGGCAGGCTAGTGGTCATGCCTAGCAATTAGGATGCTGGCACACCCCTGACCAGCCTGTCAGCCAAATCTTAAGAGTTAGGATCTATTGAAGATCAAGTTCAGACCTGAGCAGTAATTTGGGTACTGCCAGGCCAAAACCTTAACTCAGATACATAAAGGGGAGGTAAGGGTAGGGATTTATAATAGAAACAGTTGTAAAGAAAGAAACACACATAGCTAATCACTGAACATGAACGGCAAAGTAAAAAATAATGCTGAAACTATAAACACATAGGGGTAATGGGGTAGGGAGCAATTGTTCATAAGGAAGAGAAGCAGGCAATAACATATAGGCATTTTAAATCAGATGTTACACTCTACAAAGGGTAGAAAGTAGACATGCATACAAAACTGTAAATAAACACATTGGGGTGATACTGGAATTAATTTAGGACATACCAGTTTCAAAGAAGCAAGTAAAGAGAAGCAGTAGTCTTGTAAAAGCCAAAGTGCAGACAAGAAGCAAGAATGATCTAAGTATAAGTTCAGAAGAGAATCGTGATTGTGATTTTAAGAGTCTGTCCCTTTCTCCTTAAGGAGTCATGTATTTATAGTGTAGAAAGCAAGCAGAAACAAGGCAAGAAATAATTTTAAAAGCTGATTGCTAATCAATTACACGAAAATCTCCCTTAATTAAGGGGTTCAGATTCAAACGGGCATAACTAATTAAGGAAATAAATTAATCAAACTCTTTTCAAAGTAGTACAAGAGGGGTAAATACATAATAGTTATTTAAGGGCAGGGTTTTGACAGTACACAGTTATATAATTAAGGAAAGAGAGTCAATTAACAGCCACGAAATCAGAAGTCCAAATACTTGGTGTGAGTGAACCCAGTCAGAAAAAGGGGGAAGAAAGGTTTTACTTAAGGAAAATCAGTAACAATCAATCAAACCCTAAAAATAAGATTCTAATCAATCATAAGTTGGAAAACCTTTTTAGAAGAAAGAATTCATCACACATATAAAAACATACAGCCTTGCTTAAACACGAAGAACTATCATGCTAATCAGTAGAAGAGTCTAGCATAGAAAAAGTTCAGAGTCGTAAACAAAGGAGTTCAAACTCAGCTCATAGACTCAGAATGAGTCTAAAAGAGTTAAGGGTTCCAAAATAGAACCCCCGTTCAAAACTTGCTCGAACCTTGGTAAAACCCCCAAATTCTAGGGTTTCCAACTCAAATCAGAGATAAGGAGGCAACGGGCTAAGAGATTTCTTTCAGAAACTCATGAGAAAGCAAACAGATACAATAGCGAATTCGAAACAACAGAGTGAAGAAACTATTTGAAGCCTAGTGAGAGTAGAAGGAACATGTTCAAGAAAAACCTGGGACTTAAACAAATTCAGGAGATAAAAGAGATAGTATAACACTTAAGAAAAACAGTAGAGGAAACATGTTTAAGGGGAACTCAAACAAGGTCCAGTAGAAGACAAAAGTAGAAAATACAGTAGAGGAACACAAGGATATCAGAAAAACATAGCCAAAGAACACATAGGTAAACATAGCAAGATAAACATGTGAGAGCATGGTATAGAAACACGACAGGAAGATGAAACATAGAAAGCACAGAAGAACAAGTATAGTAGTAAGAAAGCATAAGAAAGCAGTAGAAACACATGCGTGGTGGAAGGACATAAACACATAAGCACAGTGAGGACAAATACACATAGAAAAGAAAAGTCGGAGAAACACTTTGAACTTTCAGAAACCTTAAATCGGAAAGAAGTAAGTTTCGAAAGAAAAAATTGGGGAAAATGTTTAAAAACTTAAGTAGAGCACAGATATAGAACAGATCTAGGAAAACAATCAGAGAAAACCTCGAATAGCTAGGGTTTCAGAGGAACCCTAAAACGAGAAAGGCTTGGAAAAGGTCCGATCTTGGTCGGAAAGGTCAGAGATAGGCTCATAGGACCAGGATACGCTGGAGCAAGGCCGGCGATGGCCGTGAAAACTCGAGCAGGCACAGGTCTGGATGAAGGCCTTCGAGGTCTGGCCTTGATTCTTCAAAATCGAGCACACAAGAGTAATGGGGAGTTAGTATAAGGTTACCATGGCCGGAGGAGCCATGATTTCCGGTGGGTCTTGAGGTCGGAGATGGTGAGAGAGGCTAGGGTATCGAGAGAGTTCGAGAGAGGAAAGGAATTCAGGGGCGGTTGATAGAGTGAAATGAGTTAGGGTTAGGGGTTTGGGTGAATTAAAATGGTAAGGGGAAATCATGGCCGTTGATCAGATTGATCAACGGCCTGGATTAATATGGATTTGGGTCGGGTGGTTCTAAATGGGTTAAGGG